GTAGTAGTTCCATCTTAAAACTTAGCTCTGAACTAGAGGTTTTTTGCATTTTTGAAATTTTGAAGTTTCATAATGCCGAAATGTACTGAGTGAATCTGATGAAAAGTTTCACAGCATCCCAATTTCGTCATCAAATTTACCGCGAAACCCGAATAATTTTACGCGAAACGTTTTGAGGGGAAAATTTGCTTATACGGTCACCTACTCAAAATCTAACTTTTAATATGTCAAAATGCTCAGCAGGACGTGCTGGTGCAAGATCCGTTGAGAAAACTTGGCGGCAAAAGCTCTATCTCGAGTTACATGACTTCGAAGTTGGCAAGTGTCGTATCCGGTCACCTACTCAAAACACAACTTTTGATATGTCAAAATGTCCAGCAGGACGAGCTGGTGCGAAATCTGTCGAGAAAACTTGGCGGCAAAAGCTCTATCTCGAGTTATTACCAAAGAAAAGCGACAAAATGGCGAAATATTGGGTGCGGCAGCAGTACGAAACGCAACAAAAGACGGTACGAACTCCAGCGGAAAGTTCGGAAACCTACGTAATTGATCAAACGTTTTTAAACCCACATTTACTTTTTTCACACATTCTTTTTGCTTTCTGGGCATGGTCAGGCAAGGTGGGCCGTCGCTTCCGGATGGGCTGCCGCTCCACTCTTTCGAAATGGGGCGCCCCGGCCGCTTCGCCGGCCCTAGCGCCCCCATTTCGAAACCTCTGTACGAGCTCGCGCCCATCCGAAGCGACTAGGCCCTGGTGGCACGAAGCCTTTTTTTTAAGCTCAAACTGGGTGTGTTGAGTAAAGCTAAGCTTGTATCGAACCGTTATTTATCTTATCGATCAGCGAAAACCGATTTTCCGAAGTCAGAATATTGAACTACGAAGTCATGTATCTCGAGATAGAGCTTTCGCCGCCAAGTTTTCTCAACGGATCTCGCACCAGCTCGTCCTACTGAACATTTTGACATATCAAAAGTTGTGTTTTGAGTAGGTGACCGGATACGACACTTGCCAACTTCAAAGTCATGTAACACGAGATAGAGCTTTTGCCGCCAAGATTTCTCAACGGATCTCGCACCAGCTTGTCCTGCTGAGCATTTTGACATATTAAAAGTTATGTTTTGCGTAGGTGACCGTATAAGCAAATTTAGCCGTTTTGAGGTATTGAAATATCGGCATTATGAAATTTCGACAAACTGAAATTGCGGAGACTTGGGTTTCGAAATCAAAATTTTCGACGTTTTGAAACCCCTAACCTCAACTTGTCGTTTTCCGGCACCGAATGATATCCGGGAAGTTGAACCACATCCGTGTCCGCCGTCCCCATATGGTAGTAGATGATCAACAGGCCGACGAAGATCAGCAGCAGCCCGCCGGCGATGTACACATGGCGTCGATAGGTGCGCAAACCGGGGTGAATGTTCGGCGTAGCCATTGGCAGCGGCTCGTATCCCTGAAAATTACATTAAATTTGCATACAAGACCAATTTACATACACTAGTTGCCCACCACATCATGGCAGAAAAATGGGGCGTAGAATTGCGAATGAATTTGGGCTTGTTTTACCAGGAATATGCGTAATTTGGGATGCGAAACACGTGAATATGCAAAACCTTTAGGTCAAATTTTTCCGGATCTGCTTAAAAATCCATTTTTCTAGAGCAACCGGATCATTTTCGTGTACTATCGAGCCCTGTAATGCAAGGAAAACGTACATTTTTCCAATAATCTTGCCTAAGTTTATTTCTCCGCGCACTTTTCCTTGGTAATGCATTTCGCTTCTCTACGCCCTCGATGAGGGATATAACGTCAGAAATCATTGTTAATCATATCAATTAGAACGTGGTTTTTGTGTTTTTTGAAAGGTCCGATCTTCCGATAACTCCCCACGAGTTATAAACAAACCGCTTCTCTGGCTTCCGTGGCGTTCCCCGAAAGGGGAGCGATTCCAGGGAAAAGGACACTCGGGCACGCCCATTCAAATGCTCTTGCCCGGTTCCAAAACTACTATTAAAGTTCCAAATCTTAATGGCTCATCGGATTTTCTAACGCTCTCAACCCCGCTTTGACCTAGCTTACTTCTCCTCAGTTAGAATGTTTTTTATATAGTCTGAATGTAATCGAGTTCTCTTAAGCAAAATTCCGGGAAATTTCGATAAGAAAATTCTATAGCCAAGTTTTGAAATCTTTTTTGAGCAGCGCAATCGCGCCGTCTTGACTTAAATGATGCCGGTTATGTCCTTATTTCATGCCTTTTCCTAGTGACACAGTTATTCGCAAACAAGCCTTTAATATAGATTTTGCAGCTCAAAGATGCATGTGCAATACATAATACCGTTTTTCTTCATTTATACCGTCTCTGGATTCTGCCCCGGGGCTTCGGATTGGGACCCGTCGGGCACAAAGTGTTACCATGTGACCCCGATGAAGATGACGTGGCAGCAGGCGATGGATTATTGTAACAAGTCGGTTTCTCTAAACAATTTTTTTCATGGTGGCAGAGAAGCCCCTGGGGCGAATGTTGAACGTTTATGAACTTTAGCCTCGGCATGACTGGGGCTTCAATTCTCCAAGCCGATGAAAGTCACGCTTTGGTAAGACAGGCACGCAGAAAAATTGAGGTACGTAACATTTATCAAAAACGTTTATTCGGAATTTAGGACTCCACAGAATGGGTCTGGTTGGGAGGATATTATAATGGTAGTCACGTGGAATGGAACGACGGTTCAGAAGCTGCTGCGTACAGTTTCGGAGAACGTAAGATTTCTCGAAACGACTCCAGATTCGCACTTTTCTTTAGGTTATCAAATGCCTGGCTACCTGGCGATAAGTCTGAAGGACCAGAGTTGGCATACCGATCATAAGGCAACGTACGCGGCGGCTTGCGTGGGATATCGTGAGGTAGTTTAATTGTAGTAATACAGAACGTTCTGAGTAACACAAAAAATCCTTGCACCGCTAATTGGCTACGGTAATGATAACAGTTTTATATTTTTAGGAGGACTTTTGCATCTCCGGCCGTCCCATTCCACCCTGCGACCCGGAATGGGTGTATTCCCCAGATACCATGGGATGCTATAAGGTTTTTCTTACGCAAAATCTAGAAAATGACAATATTTAGCTGATCGGCACGTTTGACGGCTTCACCTGGCCCGAGGCGCGGAATCAATGCCTCGCTTTGGGAGCCGAGCTAACTTCAATCCATTCTGATGAGGAAAATCGGATCGTTACAGGTATTGGGCGTACTTTAAGGCTTCTTAGGGGGCCAGAGCACTGCGATAGTTTGTTCTGGCAGCGATTTGGTATCAAAAGCGCGAGGGTGAGCCATGCGCGGAGATCATAGTTTATACGCCGAGTTCTAGCCAGCATCTACACGCTGCTTTTTGCGTTGTGATTTACTTCTGGTTCCTAAAAACCGGTACTTACAACTCTTCTGACCTTCAACCGGGCGTACTGTCACTTTCCCTTTAATTTCTAGAACTTGCCGATACATACGTGCATGGGCGACAGGGCAACTATTACAAGCTGGACCAAGCTGGAACGTGGATTGGTGGAAAGCGGGTCGGTCCTTAGAAGATTTAGAAAATTTAAGAAAGCAAGAAGGCCTTGTTTCGGTTCAACAGCCTATTAATGCTTCGCCACCCATTTTCAGATGGGGCCCGGAAAGAAGGACTTTGCCTGGACCGATGGTAGCCGATTCGAATACGCAAGGTGGGCCAGTGGCCAGCCCGACAATCACCGAAATGCGCAGTATATTCAGGTGCGTAGCGCTTGATCTTGGTTTTCTTGATTAGCTGCGGTGCCGACACGTTGCGGCCACGTCGCGTATCGAGCTTATCGTGAACTAGTAAAGAGAATGATTCAAATTGTTTTCAGATCTACACAACCCGTCTGGAGGAATACAGCAATGACGACAAGTTATACCTGAACAAATGGGACGACATTTGGACGAGTGCCAAGGGATATAATGCTGTCTGCAAAAAGAAGGCGCGATATTGAGGAAAACTTTGTAATAAATTTGCATAAAATTTGACGGATAAGGCTGAGAGCGTACACTTGTTCTTGACCAGGATCAGGATAACACTCCGAAAACAAAGCTAATCAGCCTCCTCGGTTCTAATTGTGTGCAAATTTTGATAAAAAATTACTTCGGGTTTATTCGCCTGTCCGAAAAGTCGCCTGTCCGAAAATCACTTGTCCGAAAAACTAATGTCCGAAACAGCTAATCAAAACCCTTTTCATCCGCCGCCTCCTGGTGCGTTCGGAAATCACATAATATCAGAATTCTCCAGGTTTCCAGAACGGCAGCTCAGCAGCTGCAAAAAATCAGGGAGGCCGGGCTGATGTACGTCTGGCAAAACAGGTAAATTCCGATTTTCAGATCGATCATTCTATTTTTCTGGAAATCAATTTAGATGCTAGTAAACCATGGTTCTGCCTTCATCCTCTCCGTGCCAACAATATACTATTTTTGCCTGATACCAACCGCGCTGACCGGTCAAGCCGGACTCGGCGACTGCGCATCTGGCATCCTACTATATATAAAAAAATAGTGTTTGTGTGTGTGTGTGTGTGTGTGTGTGTGTGTGTGTGTGTGTGTTCATTTGCATGCAACTTCCGTCCGTATGTTCCAGTCGTATCTCAATAAAGGAAGTAGTTAAGGGTATGCCTGATACGTCATTAGGAGCGTAATGGTCATGACACGACTGCACACCCAGCAGATTTTTGTAAAACAGCTGTTTTCGATATTAAAATTGGTTTTTGTGCAAATCACGCCCGACCTCTTTGTTAGGAATCAATTAGCATACGCCGGAAGTGAAAAGAGTCCATATAAAGGCGGGATGGCGAGTGATTTTCATTTTTTGTTCAGGGCAGGCGACCGTGATTATGCAGTTGGGCCATCATGGGGCCTAGACGGGGCCAGGGTTGAAAAGTCGCGAAGCGGCTTTTCAACCCTGGTTATTTATTATTTAACCAGTGGAAAAAGACCGCTTCGCGGCCGTTTTCCACTGGGCCCCGTCCAGGAACCATGAATTTGAATAGATTCTTTTTAGACTGCGGCGCAAGAACCTGACTCAGACCATTCTTTGGCCTGCGGCGCCAGAGCCAGCGTTGCGCTGGAATCCTTGAGCCTGCGGCGCTAGCTACTGCTTTTTCTCCCGGATTGAGCCTGCGGCGCGAGAGCGTGTTTCAGGGACCTTTTCTTTGGCCTGCGGCGCAAGAGCCTGGGTACAGGACCCATTCATGGCCTGCGGCGCGAGATCCGGGACCGAGAACCTTTCCTTTGGCCTGCGGCGCTAGAGCGCAGGCCAGGCCTAAATCGCGCACACGGAAAGCCCAGAAATATGTTTTGTTGCTGAACGACAAAAAAGCAAAATGCTAAATTTCTCGCGGATCCGAACCCGCGACCCCCAACGCCGGGGCCCCCGCCTTGATCCACTACACCACAGGCGGAGATTGGAACGGGCAGCGATAAAGGCCTCTTCATATCCTGGGGGCGGAATGAGCTGTGCTAAAAGGAATGGGCCCCAGCACCTCCGACAGGCAGGCCTTCAGGCCACTTTACAAAATTCAACTTTTGAGGTGGAAGCTGGTCGAATTTTGTGAAAATAATGAAATGCGCGTGATCCTCGCCATTCAATGCATGAGTGTTCAAAAATGCAGGTCCAAAATCGCGATGTGTATTGAGATATGGCCTGGACACCACCGCCCGTGACGCGATTTATTAAGGACCTTCCAGAAAAAACCGTATAAAAACTTTGTTTTCAAAAATTTTGCAAAATCCGAAAAAATTTATCTGGGGAAATACTTTTCCCATCTACCCTCCAAAAATGAGGCCCCAATTCCCTCTAGGCGCTGAGAAAACTTCCGGACAACGCGCCAAAAACCCATTTTGTTAAGGGTTTTTTACTTTTTTGCTTATAAAATTGTTAAATGAAGGAATTTCGTAAAACAAAAAAATGCATCACTGACAAATGTGTTTCTCCACCTCCATGCCAAAAATCAGCTCGAAATTCGGCCTGACGGCCGAGAAATCGGCTGTACAGAAAACAAACATACTTTTCTCGCTTATAGGATAGGATTATCCAATAATATTTTTTGGATTTTGCGAAATTCTTTAAAATAGCTGTTTTATGAGCATTTTTCCAAAAACTCCTTAACAAAATGGGCCATGAGCCGCGGTGTCCGGGCTATAACCCAATTCACATGGCGAATTTGGACCTGTATTTTTGACCACTTATGTGTTCAATGTTGAGGATCACGCGCATGATATTATCTTTACAAAATTCGGCCAGCTTCCACCTAAAAAGTTTAATTTTGTAAAGTGGCCTGAAGGCGTGCATGTTGGAGGTCCTGGGGGCTGCCCATTCCTTTTAGCACAGCTTGGTTCGGTTCCCCCAGGTCAGAAGAGACCTCTCCCGCTGCCCGGTCCCATCTCCCCTTGGGTGTGATGTATAACAAGCGCCAATTCAGCTTTAGAATCTGAAAACCCAAGCACCGATGCCCTTGATTCCACGACGGTTTATCAAAATCGACCTATGCAAACAAATCATTCCTCATTGCAGTGCTCGATAAAAACTCTGAAAGAGTCGTAGCAATTGTGCCCTAAACTTTCTTAGTTCAAACATCAGAAATCACGGACCTCTGCAAGATGAGCCGCTTGATGGAAAATATGGATTCAGAAGGCTCTCCTTCCGGCTTAACCCTTCTTCTTGAAAAGTAGATCGCGATGCAGCTGAAAGGGTTTTTCGGTTTGCTCAAAACAGCTGGAAAGGTGCTAAATTTATTTTTTACATGAATTTAATTTTTCCAGCTTACCCCGAGATGAAATTGGCAAGAATCGGAACATGGACCGTGCCAACCGTATACCATACAGAGCGCAGAAAATGATGGCAGATACGCCGTCGCCGAGTCCGGGCTCGCCCGATCAGCGCGGTTGGTATCAGGCAAAAATAGTATATTGTTGGCACGGAGAGGATGAAGGCAGAGCCATGGTTTACTAGCATCTAAATTGATTTCCAGAAAAATAGAATGATCGATCTGAAAATCGGAATTTACCTGTTTTGCCAGACGTACATCAGCCTGGCCTGCCTGGTTTTTTGAGCTGCTGAGCTGCCGTTCATAAGAAATCAGAGAATTTAATATTATGTGATTTCCGAACGCACCAGGTGGCGGCGGATCTTAACGTATGAGCAGACATCAAAAATCGCCGAAATTATGGAGCATAAAATATGAAATATTCGTAGTGTATATTCCATATCAACTGAAAAGATGCCGAAAAGGCTCTTGCTGTTCAGCTGAATGGAATGTAGGTAGGGTGGAAAATCAGTCTGTCGTACGGCAAGCTTTTGTAAACGCCTGAAAATTGAGTTTTGTACAGGGTGTCCCAACAAAAACACTACCCTCTCTAATTCGCCCAGTTTGCTAGGGATAACTTGACGCAATTATCCGGTATGTACGCCAAAAACCCCAAAATTTTACAAAATGGTTTCTAAAAAAAGCCGGCTTAAAGGGATGCCGACGGCATAGTCAATCGGTTACGCGCGGAAAATAAAATGTCTCTGCGGTTTCCTCGGGCGCTCTTCCCGTTGGCTACTTGCCAATTTGTTGATGAGGGGGATCGACACATGCCGTCGGCAGCCCT